CGTCGGGCACATAACGATACGTTTAGTCTATATGTCTTTATTAAAGCACTGTATTTGATTAATGCTTCGCTGGTGACACATTCGCTAGGCAGAAATTCTGCGTTCCATAAGACACCCGGTTTTTAACAATGGTGTGGCTACTTGCGTTAGTATAGGCTTGTTTTTACAAATAAAAAAACAAGTCCGACAAGCATCGTTTGGTAAACCCTTGATATTTAGGTTTACTTTTTATAATCAAATTACGCTCAAGATTGCAAGATCTTAGACAAGAATATATGTTTTAGTAGAGGATTGCCGAAATAAGAGGCGTCATGGTTTTTTCTCATAAAGCTTCGAACAGGATGCTGCGATAAATTGCGTCGGAATATAATTGTGTAGCACAAACTTTTTCTTGGAACATAAAACGCTGATGGGCCCGACACTTAACGCTTACGTAAATGAAACGGACCATCTATATTCCGGTTATTTCGTCTCAGCAGTTTTCTGGCATGCTGTATGATACTTTGGTTTTCGTGTGAACGACGCATTTGTCTAAACAATTTGAAGATAATCAAAAATTGCTTCGGCATCTTAAAAATTAATGCAGCAGTTATCTGCCAGTTTGATTATATAGACAACATGCAGGATTTGAATATTCTCCAGTTCCATATTCAATTTTGAAGCTTTCACTGGTAAATAATCATAGGTCGTCGTTTTGGAGCTCTTTACCCATTGTCGTCCAGGAATTCTGGTTGCGTTATGCTACTTTGCTTACTCGTCGCAAACAGCGATATCCACTCTGTTCTGCGGAGCATTGCGGGCGCAACAGAATGATCTGCGCCTGAATTAAGTAACAGTTGGGCTAGACCTTCGCAACGTCTTCACATAGCATAAACTAATGCTATCTTTGGCCCCATCGCGAGATAAACTTAATAGAACCTTGTGGTGAAACCAAACGCACTATAGCGCGCTGTGCAGGAAGGACCGTTTTTGCGCAAGTGTCGTGCGACAGCTATATAATTTAAATTTGCGATACGCGTCAAAGTAACCAATAATCAAGAAAAAAGCGTGTGCATCTATAAAATTTCGGGGTTTTCATGCAAAAATAACAACGAAACACACAATATTGAAAATCACTTCCGAATGTTAAAGTCCTGGAAGTAAGCACCGATATTAAGGGACACCAGACAACTGCCATGATTCCATCCCTGTCAGACAGTACATAATCATTTCACGGATAAAATGTAATCTTTGTTAACAAAAGCAATGCGCTTGCCATTTCAACTACCATTAATATCGAAGCAAAATTCGCGAGTATATGCTAGCCAGCCTGAAAGCTCAGGACAGTAAATGGAGTGTTCCGGTGCTCCACACTTCTTCTTCTTCACTTATGCATACACCTGGAAATAGACATTTCACCTTCATTAGTGATTGCCTTCTCAGGACGGATAGACGATTTGCAACTGTGATTAATTAATAAGTCAATTGGCAAACAATACATTTTTCCAAATCAGCACACCACACAGGGACATGTTACACAACAGCAGGAGTCCATCGTCAGTCATAGTAGCAGCAACGGAACGAGCGACAGGTATAGGGTAGAGGAACCAATAATCGACCAACAACGAAAAACTGGAGTTGACTGTGCAGGGCTCTGTACGCCGGCACCAGATATATACATTGATTGACCGAGTTCTCATGATATAACCGGGCGTAAAGGTTCGAGGTCCAGTCATTGTATCTCGTTCATCATCTCCGTACGAAGACGATGAAGAAGAGCGGATGAATTCATGGGCCATATTGTATTCGAACTGACGTTTCCGAATCTTCCTCGTTTCCATCATCAGAATAGCGTTCTTGTTGCTCCTGCCGGTTTTTTGTTGCTCAGTATTGACGCTTGCCTTATATTATTTCCGTGCTCGACACATGAACTGTGAACTGCCTGTTTGCTACTGACTGGATTAGACCTCCCCGGGGCTGACCGCTGACTGGACTACGTGACCTTTGTTCCCTTTGGGGTCGGCGTAATTGTAGTCAAATCGACATGTCGGGTGGCCTCTCACACGTCAGCCGGTGGACTGATCGGTAGTTGCTGTTCATGTGGGCAGCATTCAGCCTCGCAGGCGCATCGGTGAGACAGTGTTCGGCTTTGGTCACATGACCTCTGGCCTCCACCTCCGCTTTTTCACGTGAGGGTTGACTCTCGGTCCCGCGTGCTCGCTTGCCCTACTGGTCCTGTCTGGACTGATCCGAGCCTTGTACGCAGCACCTGGTAGGCGGGATGTAGATTTATAGCTCGGTTCAAATACCAGAAAACACGTGGGGAAAGCTGAGGGACCCACCGATGAGCCGAATCCCTCGCAGCTGCCTCATGCAGCGACACAAGATGGCCGAAACAGGCATGTCCGGGCTTTTAGCTAATGCATGTGTTGTCTGTACGGTAATTCATTGCAAAACGCTATACTACTGGCTGCCTATTGGTGTGATATAAGTTTGTTTAATAATTTCGTAATCAAATGCGTTTTCTTTAAAAGTTATACCCGAAAGGAGTCTGATTCCTCGGTTTTAAGAAAAAAACCTGTTTATTTTGGTATTTTTCACATAGTGAAATGGCCGTTTCTAAAACCCCGTGTCTCTGCATTCACTAATATTGCTTGTACGGTTTACAATGTGGTTCAAACCCATTGCTAAATTACATAAACTTCATATTGTTTCCTTATTATTATGCAAACAATTTTATTGCCGTACGTTAGCGGGAGAATAACAGCTTGTGGTTTGAAAGCTACGAAAAATAATTTAACATAGGTCGGGTTGAAAATAATTCCGAAATTGGACATGTTTTTCAAACCGAATTATGCACTTTCTTTCAGTAGCATTTTAGGGAGGGCGTATTTCCCTCCAAATTACTAAAACATTAAATAATAATATGCATGTTTGCATAACATATATTTACAATAATAGGAGTAGCATAATTAAGAAGAAACACGTATGCCTTAAAAGCACCTATTTTTCAAAGTGTGTTTTTTTTCTCTGGTGGCCGAAATCAAGTTCATTTAAAAGTCCGCATCCTCAAGTTTCGGAAATATCTTACACTTATGTCGCAGAGTGATCAATATTGCGACCCTAATTAAATAGTTCGGCTAAAATGTCATGTGTTAGTATTTCTACTGTAAAAATGCCATGTGGTTCCTATCATCCAACGTCAATAAGCATCGCAAATGTACATTAAAATGCATTTAGCAAATGAGAAGCCCATACATAGTGGCTAAATTACCAGCTTACGTTCAATAATTTTGTGTAAATCGGACCACTTCCGAACATCCAATATACAGGTTGTTTCAATCCCCTTACCGTGTTTTGTTTCCTTTGTAATAGGATCCGGCTAAAATGTCGCCTACTTTACTCAAATTGCATTCAGAATTATCACTTAAATTACAAACAACACACCATTTAGTCTATATCGGATAGTTTATTTTTATTTACCCCTTGAATAGAGTGACAATCCACGGGATAAGTGGGCTGTCGACCACTTTTTCGACTATGGGTTTATTCAAAATTAAGACATTAGGTGATCACCTTTCTCACATCCAGTAGTAGAAACCAACAATGTAAATCGGAAACAGATAAAAACAACAAGTTATAAGGTCTCACGTCAATACATTTCATACGGCTCACTGGATGATAAAATGTCTCTTACATGTATATTTGCATCTGCATAATATTTCGACGTACTTTTGGTAACAATCTTTCATAATGGAGTTTATGACAGACCGCCAATATAAGCGGTACGAGCATTCAAATTCTAGCCACATGAACTCTGGAATAGGTAAAGTCTTAATAAGCGTATGCTGTTTACAGTGCTTGGGTCAACCAAATGTATCTGACAGCCAAATTTTTCTTGGACATGCGGCCGATTTCTGCTCTGAAAATTGTATTTTTTACCTGTTGATGTGCATTTTAGTGATTTTTACAAATTTCATGAATTTGCAATTTTACCGCACCTGCAGAGCCACCTGCTTATGACACAACATTCATCATTAGAAACGTCCAGTTCAGATTGCATTCGCTACGCAGAACCATGTGTTTCTCCTTAGCTGTGGTAGCATTTGTCTAGGCTAGTCCGAACGGTTTATTTACGAAGTTCATTGAAATATGGATTAAAACATAAGCATTACAATTTGTGTCACCACATTTCTTAATGCACAGCTCAAGTGACAAGCATTTCGACTGTTGCCTGGTGGGCAGGCAGTAGATGTGATTACTCAGTAAATGTCAGTCGAGATTGTTCAACGGGCTTTGGCTTGGAAAAAATATTTTACTAAGATTGCAATAGTAGCTAACATGCAGCAAAAGTCTCTAATCATCTTTTTAATTTAGGATGCCTGATTGGAAACGAGCTTCTCTTCAACCGCGAAAACTGCCTTCCGTAAAGAATGGCAGATTATGTAGCAGGACTTTTAATTAATTTTCAATTCACCATACTTTTCAAATAATTCTTACAAAAATATCCTTTTTACTTATTTTTTTCTTCCTTGTTTGGTAAAATAACGTTTTTTTAACATTGCCAATTGACGGTGGGCTATGACAGTTCGACCATTGGTTTCGATGATGTCCACCGTGTGTCCCACAGTTGCAGCAGCAGTAGGAGCAGGGACGGTGACTTACGCAGGGGTTTATAGTGCCGGTAGACTTGCGTAGCATCTACCTACACTCTCTCCACCTCAGTCGCCCGAGCCCGGTGTCAAGACAGCGTCAAGAAGACCGGAGACGAGAGAGGCCGCAGGTGGATGGCTCGGACGGATCCTCACCTTGGAGTCCCACCACACTCCCTGGTCTACACAACAAATAACCAGGATTTCAACCAACACAACAGAGATTTTGGGGCTGGCACGGCCGAAGCCGCACCTGGGCATGCCGCCAACGCCTGGCTCGGATCCCGCACTGTGATGGGAGGGCCATAAATGCCACATTAAAAAGGAGCCATTGCAGCCTGACTCTCAGACCGCCTCCGGTCAAGGAGGATGTCCAAGATACTCCATCAGTTGGCAACCTTTCAAGCAGTGGGCGGGGAGGAGAAGCAGGAGGAGGAGGAGGATAAGGAGGAGAAGGATGATGGTAGTGGTGGGTCAGTAGAATTGTCAGGGTTAGTTGGCGGCGGAGAGGAGAAGGAAGAGGGAGGCGGTGGGACGATGGTTGGTGCCGTTTGAGAGGTGGAGTTAATCCGAAGATGTCCAACAGGTCCGATTCGAGCCCGGAATGTCAGTTGACATCGAGGACACGTTGGGAGCGGTTGTGCGGCGGCGGTGGGCTATAATTCGGTTTTACATAACGTTTACATTTCACGAATAAGTTTAACCCGACCTCCGTCGCACTTGAATTCAGGGTTTCAGAATTACATGTTGTATATATTCGTGTATGTAAAACCACTGATTTCTGTACAGTCATAAGAGCAGACCATATAAGTTTCATCAAATTTAGTGGTAGATATAAGACATGTTGTATATCTTTGAAGCAGAACTAGTAAATTCAGAGACATCAGGTTTTATGAACGTGCATTGCTCAGCGTTTAAATGTCTTATAAGTGGAAACTGTTCTAAAACTATATTTTGCTCTCAATGTAAACAATTTAAAATGGCGCATCTCTAATACTTCTGTAAAATGAATATGCAGGTTTTTTACAAGTTATGTTTGAACATTTGCATGCTAAAATGAACGATGACAAGTCATGCTACTTACGTACTACGTATATTATTATGCATATATTTAAAAAAATGCGGTTTTTGTAGGCGGACGAAAAGAAATTCATTTAGAAGCCGGCATCCGGAGGTAACTGGGTCGTTATAAAATTTTGCTGCACGGTGATTTATATTAAAACCCTAGTTAATAATAACTATGGGTCGAAAGTGCATTTCAAAAGTTCGGCTGCCACTTCATTAGTTAACACATCTAATGTACTTAGCTCAGGATTTATCTATTTTTTTAAAATCTGAAAACCGAAATGGAAACGACTGTTCAAAAACTGCTTTAGTAATCGGAGCCTTCTATAGCTAAACCTATCATATTTCATATAATGCAAACGGAAATCAAGTGGGCTGACCAGAAACAACCCGTTTTTTACTGACTCGGTTGGAGAAGTCATCTTAGACAACGTTCAATTTGCCATTCAGTAGGCCTTCCATAATACGATCTAATACAAGCCACATTACTTCAGAATCTATCAGCCTTTCATTCATGTATGTAGGTGTCATCGCGCTGGCTAGAATAACGGCCGGTCTGTTAACTTAACAACTATAGTACAAGTAATAACTCATTAATGTTTACTGAAATTGTAATATGTGTCTTCGACTCTAAAATATTAGTAGGGTTGTAATATTCATCACCATACAGCCTTATCCCAAAATTATCCTGCTTCCTCAGAATGCCCATTTTTGAATGAATATTAGATCGGCCGCCTGTAAGGCGTGCACTCATTAAAATGACTACTTATGTAGTATGTGCTTTTTCCTTGGTCTTTACCTTCCTTATAAATTCCAGTACATCTTATGGAAAGCATCCATAAAAATATGCATCCTTTCATCATTATGAACGTAATTTAACTTTCCTTATATTTCATCCTTGAAGAAAGAGTAGAATATGGTCTCAAATGTTTCTATTTATAAGATATTTAAATATCGGGAAATTTCTATTTATGCGACACCGCGTCCCTGTAGTTACCACGATTGTTTGCAAAGTTTACAACCTGGCTTGCATTCACTGCAAAGTTGAATGAACCTTATGCTGCCTCCTCGTAGTCGCGTATAAGAACATATGATTTTTTGTAGATGGAAATATGTGCTTGTACTTAAGAAAACACTGAATGCAAGTAAAAGTCCAAGGCGGGCACAAATGATTCGGAAAAACGAAACGTTTTTAAAAATGATGTATGCCATTTGTTGGAATGTAACATTTAAACAAGAGAACAATGTCTTCCAAATGAATAAAAAAATGAATATTTATCTGGATCCTCTCTATCGGATATATTTGGACATTTATTAGCGTCGAAAATTGTATCAGAAAAAGTTATAGTTCGCACGTAGTCATATTATAACGGGAATAGTTTTTGCAGAATGAAAGCTACAAGTTTATCCAAAAACAGCTATCATGGAGTGCTTCCATTAATAAAAGACTTGACAGCACGGCGACGCACATAAACATCTTACTTAAGTAATACTTTAAAGTCAAAAACTTAGAATCTTGGTCAACATCTCAACAGTGCACATTTTACGTAAATTGCAGTTGTCTTTGCGATGTCCGTCGAGAATCAGGTTGTCGGTGGTTTGCAAATGAGTGCAAGATCACATTGCGATATGTTTTAACTGGCCTTAGGTCAAAACGTTCGTATTTTAATATGTTTGAAGTACTCATTGCTACAAACACTTAAAGGTATCGCAATTTCCTTTTTCTGTTGCAAATGAATGAAAGTATAAAACCGCGTCAAACAAAAACTTATTCAGAGGTTGATTGACAACTCCGGAATTGCGCTATACTCGTGGATGCTACATAAACGTGGGAAGCATTTCTTAAATAACTCTCCTTACGGAGGTCGATTTGCCTACTCTATAAGATGGATACCCAGAAGGCTTGCTTCTTGGCCTCCTCTGTGTTGCATGTGATCATCGACCGAGCACGCATTAATTTACTGCAGCAGATAATACAATCAGTAGGCGCACTCTGCAGGTGTCACTTGGTCTACGTTACTATTTAATATTGGTTAAATGCAATAAATTTCATTTACCGAAAATAGGACAAGCGTTTTCAAGCTACCTATATTTGTGTATTCGGGAACAGGTCCGCGTGAATGTGCTCGACATGAGACGATAACCGGTAACCTGTCCTGTTTAAAGCAACAACTTGAATCGAGTGCGCGAGAATCTTGGATAACTCTGATGGTCGAATTGGGGGTCAGATGCGGAATTTGTGGCCCTCGACAGGGACACATCGATCTGCCAGCAGACTGTTAGTGACTGCGTGGACAGCTCAGAAACAGAGCTAAAGATTGACCTTGATGATGATTACCAAGTTTGCACCGTCTATTTATTTATGGACAATGAGCTAACATGGGAGTTCCAAAAGCTGCGTGTTTTTCCATATGCATTTGCCATTTTATACCCTAAGAACATAACGTATGTTTTAATTTGAGGCTTATTCAGATAAGTTAGGAGTAAGGGCCCGAGTTTTCTGGCAGAATGCAGTTTTGAAAACCCAGCGTGATCCATGAAAAAGAAGAATAAATCCTGGTAGTTCATGTGAGTTTTTTTTCAACTCTAACCGATGGGTTTGAAGTCATTCTGGTCATTTTGCATTGGACAAATATTGATTCTTGACATATGGAAGCGGGGAGAACGGAGGGTGGCACCCGGTAACGGATTATTTTCGAATAAAAACTTTGTGTAAATGGGAAGCATGGAAATTGATTTTTCGGACCACAAACTTGGTTGCACATCTACCACCGTTGAAATAGAGTAGTTTACAGCCTTCTTTAGTCCATAAAAAGAAATATTCGTAAGACGCATCCAGAAGGAGTTCAGAAAAAGTCCACATTGTGCGCGATACTCAAATTTAACAAATGCATGCATGCGCCTCAAATGTATATTTAGGAATTCCTTTCTGATAAGCGTTCCCTCTGGTTTCTTTGGTGGTTCCTGTTAGTTAAGACATATTGATCAGGACAATAAAAGAAGTCATGGACATATTCCAACTTCTCAATATAATAAATTATTGGACCATTGTAAATAAAAACTATTGCAAACCTAGAACATCTGAAAACTGAGTTTTATGATTTTGGATAGATAAACATATACTATAAAGATAGTTGTTTTCGATGGTAAAATTGTACTCTACGGAGAAAATGGGAACTAAAGGCAGTAAAGCATATGACGGCAACTTATTTTTCCATGTTGGAACATTCATTGTAATGAATCAATAATAATACAAGCTTTAATTTAACATGCATGGAGAATAAATTTGTAAGCAAACCAATAATTCCAGTATGAAGCTAACGGCCGGGAAGAATGCGTGGCAAACAATTATTCCATGCTGTCCTTGTCGAACATTATTAAGACGACAGCCGTATAAGTCAGCTCCACTGTAAACGTTCAATCTATATCGTGTGCAATTACGTTTGCCATGGTAGATAATTATGCTATTTTGTGAAATTTGACGAAGTATGTTGTTGGCATCCATATCGCCTTTTTTTAAATCAACCGGTCCTTCAAAAGAACCTATTGTGTTTCTGCCTATGGGCCAAAATGCGTAAAATACTAATATGAATTTGGTTAGGATAATAATTAGCTATGTGAAAACGAATGAGAGCAAACTATTATCGGCAATATATTTTCCTTGTTTGACGCTGCCTGTTTTGATTAATTATATAGCGGTAAACACTTAAACGAATAGTAGGACATTTGTTTCTTTACACCTATTACTGAATGTAGTGGCGACATATGCATCTAGAAATTAATTTACATTTTGACTAAGGACATTTATTTCTGATGTACAAAATGTATGTCCATACCGTTTCAAAATTTTTCGGGGATAATATCAAAAATATAATTAAGAGGCACTGCCAATTATTTGAGGTTCGCTAGACTTAGTGGTTCAATTTAAAGCTCTGCTAGCTTGTAACTCATTCAACCAAGGAAACAAAAATGTTGTCCTACCGACTCCCAAGAGACGTTCAAACGTATTTTAATATTTTTAAGATTTGCCATAAAATATACTTATATTTACAAGTAGAATGAATTTAACCACTCTCAATAAGATAGTGCTAGTTGTAATTTTTACTTTGGGATGCTCATTAACGTTGTCCAGATACGCCAATTTTTAAACCTTCTGTTTTAATACTGTTTATAACATATTAAGGGGAAAAATCGTGTTTGAAGTTTTTCATATATAATAGAAGATTGATGGGTCCTCATGACTTTTCTACTGCATTGTGAAGAAGCCTAAGAAGCTTGAAGCACACCATAACACAAATACGCTTTTAAATAAAAATCACAGTCCTATAGCTTGACTTAGAGAAGTGAATGGGCGAAATATACAACTTTAAATTGAAACAATGTAGGCTTCAAAGACGTTTAAGATAAACATTACCATATATGTGATTACAACCGTAAACGCAGAGTGCTGGCCATAGTATATGTATGAATATCGACATCATTTTCTGGCGGGACTTTTAATATGATTATAAGTTAGATTACAAAACCCAACAATATAACTAAGTGCATTGTGAAAACTTTCCAGAATTCATTGAACAACGGAGAGCCGACCAATGAAAACAAAAATTATGATACGAAGCACCAATTGGTATCAAAATAGGAAAGTTAGTCGTGCAGAAAGCAAATTCAGACATCGTTAAACCAAGCAGCAGATATCACATAAGCATTTTACGCAAGTAATTATTGTATTTTAAAATTCAAGTTCTTAGATCAGCGTCCTACGAAAACATGATCTTCGAATAATGAATTAAATACGCTACAGTGAATGCACTATCTTGTGAATTATATAAAAATTGGAGCATAATGTTGATTTAAAAATATAATTTAAGTAGGCTTGTAATGTTTAATACCATGCAGCTAAATACTAAGATATTTGTGTGACTAACAAGTAACCAATACTCTTAAATTCTGTTAAAAGAAAAGAACAGATTCCTTACACATGTTAGGTAGCAGTTATGTTGTATTACTAAATGTGACCAATTGCTGTAAACTACGTTGTACACTTCATAAGTTTCATCACAAAAGGTAATATTGGAATTGGAGTGGCCATTTTGGGTCTTAAAACTCATAAATAGAACATTAGTTTAAATCAAAGATTGCAATGTCCTCGAGAAGAAAATTTGGAAAGACGTGCTTCAATATTACATGAGCATTTACAATAACAGATTTGTGCATGTTTTATGTAACACAAGTGCATTTGCAGGCGTACTAAGAGCCGAATAGTAATATGCAAGAAGTATCTTGTGCAGAATGGGGCTTTTTAGATTGAAAAAAATTAACTAATCCTTCAAAGGAACCTATAGTATTACTACCTGTGGGCCAAAATACTTAACATACTAACATGAATGTGGTTAGGTCAATAAATAATTATGTGAAAACGAATGAAAACAAACGGTTCTTTAACTCAATAATATTTGTTGGGTATCCGGTGCATTGAGCGACGCTGCTTGTTGTGACTTATTAAATAGCGGTAAATACCTAAACGAATAGTAGGACATTTGCTCATTTACGCCTGCCAATGAGTGTAGTTGCGACATGCTCATCCAGATATTAATTTAAGTTTGGAGTAATGACATACAAAATGTCTGTCCTTTCCGCTGCAACAGTAGTGCAAGATAATATCAATTATTTAATTAACTGTCACTGGCAATTATGTGAGGTTCGCTGGGCTTAGTGATTCGCTTTATTGCTCTGCTAAATTTTAACACGTTCAAGCAAGAAAACAAACTGTTGTCCTACTGAGTCCCCAAGAGAATGTTAAACTTTTTTTTATTTTTTTACGTTTTGCCGCATAAAATTACTTAAATCCACAAGTTGAATTAATAGGATACTGTTAGTTGTATATTTTAATTAGAGATGCTTCTTAACGGTTTCAAGATAGGCCGATTTTCAAACGAACTATTTCAATATTATTTAATATGTATTACGGGCAAAACACGCCGTTTGAAGTTTTCAATATATACTAGAAGATAGACGTCTCGTTATGCTGTTTTCTCCTATGTTCTTATGAATCACGCCATGACACAAACACTATATTCAATAAGAATTACAGTCCTATAGCTTGACTTAAAAAGTGAGTGGGCGAAATATACCACTTTTGATCAAAACACGGTAGGCCTCAAATACGTTTAAGATAAAAACTACCATATGTGTGCTAACAACCGCAAACGAAGACTGCAGACCAGAGTACACATACGAAGATTGACATCACTTTCTGCTGTGACTTTAGATATGGTTATAAGATATATTATGAATCCAAATGTGAACTGATGAACACTGTGAATTTTTTTCAGAATTCATTGGACAACGCAGTGCGGACAAATAACAGCAACCATGATGATACAAAACACTAAAATTAGTGGTAAGGAAAGCAAATTTAACCTTCGTTTTGTCAAGCAGCAGATGTCACATAAACATTTTACGCTAGTAATTATTGCATTTTACAACTCACATTCTTCGATCAGAGCCCAACTTAAACAAGAATATCAGTGACCTTCGAAAAAAGAATCCAATAGGTTACAGTGAATATACTATCACGCGAATATTATGAAAATATGGAGAATTGTTTTGATTTAAAAAATATTAACTGAGTAGGTTTAAAATTGTTAATGCAATGCAGCTTAATCCTAAGGTATTTGAGGGACTAGCAAGTAAATAATTTTCTTAAATTCTGCTAAAAGAATAGCACAGATTCCTTACCTATTTTAGGTAGCAATTATGTTAGATTCCTACGTGTGACCAATCCTGTGGAATTTGTTGTACACTTCATAAGTGTCATCACAAAACGTTGTACTGGGATGTCGTATGCGTGGGCATTTCAGGTGTTGAAAAACCCATAAATTGAACATTTATTTAAAACAAAGATTTCGATAAGCGCAGGAAGATAATTTAAAGAAGACTGCTTCAATGTTACATTGGCATTCACATTAGCAGACCTGTGCATGTTTTATGCAACATAAGTTAATTTACAAACGTATAAAAACGGATTAGTAATATGTAACAAGTATTTTATGGAAAATGGTTTGTCAGGTGGACAAAAAGAATCTCACTCAAAAACGGCTACTAAGTGTATTGGTATATCCTATGATTTTTATGTACAATAATGTATCTTGCATAAATTCTGACGTATTAATATGGCATGTGTCCCATGGACCAAAGTTCGCTGTTGACAGTAACAAGATAACGGGCGAACAGAATGGAGCGAGACAAGTCATAACCACTGCAGTGCGTTTTGCACACTTACTTTTAGTTTTTTGTTGTCACTGCGAAAAGTACAATATGAGGCCCATACATGTTGCAACGGATGTAGACTGCGTTAATTGGTTAATGAAGAGAAGTATTATAGAAATATATGGGACTCTTTTCGAGAGGAGATTGTATGGCGTCAGGAAACTCATAATTGTTGAAAGTCTGAAAATTTAAAACACCGTTCCAATCAGACAATCTGAACAGAACATTATTTCCTGCTAGCTAAGCATGTACAATAACAATTTATTCAGAATATTATACAAAGGCTCGTTTAAATTCACAACGCTTACAATAATTGCAGAAGAAAATTTACTTTAATGAGGCGGAGAATCTGTACCGATTGAACGTTGCACACGGTCAAAAACTAACACCTTGGCGTGCTTGGAACGAAATATATCAGTTTTGAAATCCTACTTAATTTATATTTACTTTTTGAGATTATATTTTGAAATTTCGGCTACCATTTCTTAAAGCCTGGTGATATATAGTACCTCCTTAGTGTATTTGAAATAATCGCGGAAGACCCTTAAAATAAACAAACATTATAAAATTTCATCGATTTTGCAGAAGGGCAAATTATTTCGCCTATAACAGAAAATCCAGTTAACATGTTTTCTTGAAAAGGCCGGTGGTCATGACGAAGGTTGAACACGCAAAATAAGTGCAGGGCTTGCGTACAACCAATCATATTATCATTGGTCGTAAAAGATTTAGACTTAAGTCTCGTGCCTTTCACACTTAGCTGTACCATTACATACATAGTACCACAGCGTGTATTGTCAAATCACTGATTAGTAAACAGGATTTAACAGTCAAGTGAGCAAGCAGGATCGATTGACTTCATACTTTGTAATAGTTTGGGAGTTCTAGTGTGGTCCAGCTGTGATTTACGTTATGAATGCTGGTAAGGATAATTAGCTTGGACGGCTACAACCTCAAATAAATACACACCGTGTTTTGGCACTCAGTGTATCAGATCCAATCAAGGGAGTTACCAAAACAAGCACTCTTTGTAGGAAGAAAAAAATACGTAGCCATTTTTTTGTCTTTTAATTTTTCTTACAAAATAGTAAAGTTCCTGTGTGCACGTCAGTAAAATGCCATATTTTAGAAATTTTAAAATGAAAATTGTCATGTCATATTTTTCATTCTCTTGAGGTTCGCTACTACATGGGTTCGTTTTAAATGTTATTGATCTTCGATACATATGTAACACTTTAGTCGGCGTGCAAACGGTTGCATGGTTTACCTGAAAACCATAAAGATGTCGTACCGGGCTGTAGACAACCCGCGAGCTGTAAGTTAGAATTCGAACGCCTCTAGGCACTGAGCGGCGGGTTCATTGGCCTATCGGTTATGATCGGATATATGATGGTAGAGTGGCGCTCACCGACCATTATTACGGAAATCACTCCTTCCGGTTATAACATTCTTCTAAAACAGAAGGCTTGTTAAATGCGTTAGACAAACATCACATACGGTTTCACCTCCATGAGGAAGAGCGATTACAGTTGTTTTGCCTATGCGCTCTTCACGGTCCGAAGAGCGTGAAGGACGCAGCTGACATATTTACCAGCCTCGCAGACGACTTTATGTAATGTCTTTTTCATTAATCTTATAACGGCCTTATTGGATTGTGTATTTGCCCTCACGAGCAAGCCCAGATGGTGTTTTCCATGATATATGCTCTTTTGGGAGAACTGCGGTTTGCGTGTCTGTGAATGGTGTTATACATGACCTAAAGCTGTACAATGTCAATCAAACTGTATAGGCGGAATCGAGTCACTATATTGTTGCAATCCAAGTCTATGCAAACAACACCTGGTGCATTTTAACATCCCAAATCATAAAAGAGCACAAAAAGAAGATTACATTTACAAAAATCTGAATAAACAACAAATGCTGTTGTCGGTATAGAACTAATATATATATATATATATTCATTTTGCTTAGCTGAACGGATTTAAATATTTTTTGTCAACAGACGACAATTCATGCAATAGTTGAATATGTTATAGCTTGAATTAACACATATGCCGAGGCATTTTGTCCGATATTCTAACACGTTCGAACGGTAAACGAATATATTTAGTTCTGAATAATAATGTAATCGCAGTTGAATGTCGTCGTTGTAGCCACCCAAATTGCAAGAGCAGGTCAGTTGCAGCGGGAATTTATGCATCCATTGCAGACTGCCAGGGGAGAAGGCTGTCAAGAAAAGTTATTTAAAGTAAGTAAGGTCTAAGTATTTATTGATCGAAAAAATAGATGAAATCATAGTAAATGAAACAGCGCTTTTGCGGCATTATTCAATAAGGATCTGCGTGTGCTAACAATGTAGGATGATGAGACAAATCCTCTAAGCATTTCCAGGGACAGTGTTACTCTCTGCGTTCAGGCCACTTAGCGTTACTTATTCGATTGCACTTCACAACTGCATAAATTTATATTATAAAAATTTCCAAAACACGCCCGCTAGAGCGATTAATACATATCGACCGCATGGCGCTATTTCGCAAACTGTGCGAAAACAAGATACAAGAAAAAACCGACATGTTTCAAGATTGCGTACAATCTTATACTATATTTCAGGAATTTCATTTGAAGCTTTTGGGTGACATAACACGTTTCTGATTATTTTATATTCTTACATTTTTACGAAGTGGCGTGCGCGAATAATTGCACCTGTTGAGATGAAAAAACTGAATAGCTCGAAGTTCAATAATCCTAATAATTCTAGGCCTCAACAGGAGCATAATCGCCAGGTGTGGCACATTGAGTCTACGTTGTTTTCTTTTATTTTGACGGAAAGGTGGAATTCATAGTAAAGACAGCAGTTGATGACTTTCTCCTAGTCCTCAGATGGCAGCTTGTGGGCGGGCCTTACGTTTGATGGTGGAAAGAGGAGGAAAACTGTCAGCTTAACTTTCTTGATGTCCCCGTATGCTGCAAAGATTGTGGTGGCCACGTTGTTCTGGAATGCAAGAGACACAATTTATGTACTGGACTTCAAAAATAGCCCTCAAACAGCCCTCAAACAGCCAAAAACGTTGTTGTTTTGCAGGGCTATGAGCTGAGCAATACCATACAACAAAAGCACCAGTGAGGCCTCCAGTATCCTTTTCGTATCACCTGTGTGCGGAGTTATTAGCAGATGGGACGCGAATATTAGGCATTGCGGATGAGACAAAAAAGACCACTGCCACAGCAAAAGGCATCTGGGGTTGTGTACCGCACCTGGAGCGGTTGCCGTCAAATCACCAACCTCAGAAAAACTGAAACGCTGTTCCGGACACGTTACCGAAAGCAAAGCAACAGCGAGTAGATATGATTTCAACATTCAAATAGCGGTCTATTCGACTAGACCTGACATCACATTCAAATCGATGAGGCGGTTTCAATAAGGTGAGCCGCGATTTGCATGATGCACGGTTTGCGTGGTCGCAGTCAATGAACACATATACGGTGTTGACACTTAGAATGGCCAAAACAAATTAGTCACTCCGCGGACGCATATCCACGTGAGCCATATGATCACGCAATCGTCGCACCAATATCTCCCACGGATGATAATTTAGCGTAGCGACAGCAACTTCGTTTGCACGAATTATCCGTATCCGTCACTGCCTTTGCTGACGAATTCGAGCGTGAATGCGAAACGTCAGGCGAATATAATAATTATTCCAGGAACTCTCATCTTCGCTTGTGTCGGCAGAGATGAACGCAACCAATGGCTTACAACCCGGAGTGATTGTGAGGGCACGCACACAATATCTGCCTAGTACAGTATTAGAAATACTGCGGCATGAACACCTGCAAGTAAAGGCCGCGAAGAATTCCTACGCAAGAAGGGGACTGAAAGGAGAGTTCCAAGTAAGTAATTTAACAAACTGTGCAAATCAGATTCGTTCCTGTAATTGTCCTATATAAGACACAGGTTGTCCTATCAATTATCGGAATACCGATCGGTCTTATCTGAAGAACGTAAATCCTTCTCTGTTTGCGCTTGTTTTAAATCTGGGTCAAACGTCGTCGACTATGTGCTTGACAATCAAAGGAATGCTATTTAATCTTAGGTTTGTTACGCATTTAAACTTAAGCGTTTTTGGATTACCGCGTAAAACAGTTAAACCGCCTCATTAACCGGTGGCGAACAATGTATAATACGTCCTTGTAGACATAGTAGGCGATACATATGTAGATGCATTACAAAGTCTACGTGTGCCTTATTGACACGGTATTGTGCGATCGTTTTTAAAAGCTCGTAAATTGACAAAATTGTGATGTCTACTAATTGTCAACCAGGACATATTCCAAGTGGTACGACGGGAGTTAGAAGCAGGCGTTGGTACCTTCAATTGATGCATGGTCATTCAGGTAGTATACCATACAAAGACTGCAAGCATTTAGTGTGCACTCACATAACAATCCAAAAACAGATTGTGGTTTCAAATGTGCATTGTAAGCGGGAGGAGACTGGCATTTGAGGATGATGCAAAAAGAAAATTTATAATGGCGTTTAGTTTGTCCGTAATAAGCAAAAATAGCTAGCAATTTATTTGATAGCACTCACGCTGTAAATCACTTTGTAATTTATTGCATAAAGTACTTCAGGAATCACTGTAAAATGGTCATAAATGTGGACCGTATGCACATGTGGGACTGAATAATTCCAGGCGAAAATCAGGATCTTTGTGCTAAATGAGGGACTTGTTGATCGAAATTTTGATCCACTAGGCACACGTAGAATATATTGCAGTCAACGTTTGTCCTACAATCAAGGTTGTTTATTGACTATTTACCCAAACGCCCGTCACGTGTTCCGTTTTTGCTCTTCTCTTTAAAGATATATCTTTGTAATATTTCGCATGATAATTTATAGAACTGCATGCCTTTAAATGTAGGCTTTGTAAACCTTAATTTGCTTGGCCTACAAAAAATAAAAATGTTCGTGAAATAATTAAACAAGAAAGCTGTGCGTGTTGTAGGACATTCGATATTGTTAACAGCAACGCTTTCCACGCCGCATTCTTTTTAAATCAGTAAATGTATATGTCAAAATGCGCACAGATTCGAAGACATTTATTGATAAGGAATGCTATTGAAAATTCGAAAAAAACCATCATAAATAAGAAAAATATATTTCTAAGCAGAAGACAGCGTCTGTTGTACTGATAAGTATCTACTATCTAAGTATCTCTTATCTCTAGTATCGAAGTGAAAATGGATGTTAAAAGTGCCAATACATCGTCCGACTTGGACAACTGTCACAGTTATGCTGTCGCCATTCACCCTTAGAGTCAATGTCGTGTAGGATTTAAAGTTGGATACATTTTCAAAATGTTTTGCCGTTTCTGTAAACGAAAAATAACTTTTTGCGCAAGGTATAACAATTTGGATATGAAAGCGGTGAACTTGTAACAAAACTTGTCTTCTAGTCCGTTCGTTATTTTCCCGGAGTGTTATGCCGCCAGAGAAAATATATGAGATCAACAAACTTCATTTCTGATTTGGGTAACTATTATGCTAATTCGCCGGTTTTGTGAAAAGTAATCGACCAATAAAAACGTTCCATTTTCTGTCAGATTTATATAGCTCGCTATTCTAAACTTATAGAAATTATGCGGAAAACTATTACTTCAGCACAAATGTATTCGGGCGTGGAAACACTATTATTTTGAAAATTCATATTAGATAACTCCTATATAATAAAATTATGTAATAGTGTGAATATGAGTTCTTCTTGAACACTAAGTTTCAGTCATCAAACGAAATATTTCTTTTAAAGAAGGCGTACGAAGGATTGACCCACGAAACGCTTTTGATCTTCCACGATTTCGAAAGAACCTTTTATATTAAATAGTATTGTGATAACGTAGAACAAGATTCTATAGATTAACATCAAGTGACCCAACGTACGAAACGTAAACGGAAAGTGATAGAATACTTATGCGTCCCTAAAAATAACATACGTTGTTCTATGTTGTTGTGCAATGTTAACGTGAAATAATATCGTACATTTAAGCTGAAATCAAAGTTGGCATTAGAAAGACAATTACTTGTCTCGCTAACTTTCCTAGAATTCGTTTGTGAATCAAACCCTACTGTTTCCTATCCGATGGAGATGTAGGCTCGAGAGCTTTACAAAGCACTAATTGACAGGTTTGATGACTGTTTATTTGTCAAACTTTTACCATACGTGACATTTTACGAATGCTGGATTTTGTTTCAAAAAGAACAAACGGTGTTTCGGTTTTCGGAGGATAAAATAGTGGACACTGTATAAAGAATGACAACACGGGTAACAATTGGGAGATGGCACCCACAAAATTCCGGTACCGATGAGAATATGCCGGAGGACTGCATGAGTGTTCGTCCACAGACTGATGAGAGGAATATAATAAGGGCATTTTACTGAGGGCCGGAAAACTTTAAAAGCATACAATCCTAGACAGACTGTGTTATCAGCTAAGCAATTTCACAAAATGGCAACTCTCGTCGGGGTCAAGTGCGGCGATGTTTTCAATCACGTCCTTTCTGTTGATTGAATGTGCAGTTTTGAACGCGAGGATATGAAGGCATAGGGTCATGAACAGCACAACGTAGAACGTTTCCTTTAGCCAACTGCATTCCGCTTTCAATCCCCTATTTAAAAAAGCAATTAAGCAGGGAATGCGAGCTGGATCGACTTAATATTATCTGCCTCTTCAAGTATATCCGACACCGCGCACATTTTTGTTGTCATATAGTGATGACGTTAAACTATATCGTTCGAAAAACCACGCAATCGAAGGCCCCACCCGTAAAACCCCTATTACCACCTGTTCGTAAGACAGGCTGTCTTGGTTGGGCGGATTTTTTTAGGTGCCATCTCCCAATTGTTACCGAATATACTACCACCTAATATGCGCATATTAATTCGTGTTCTGCTATATATCGGACATTAATGCTAACCCGCAATCATTTGAATGTCGTAAAGATGCTTTGGAGAAAGCATAAAATCACGTTAACGTGATGAGGTCAGAGTAGGGCAGATGGCCGAGCAGTCATCACGACAGCATCCAACACGGGCGTTTGGACTTCTGCGTCTAATAACTTACGTATCCGCAATCAATCCATTAGAGCACCAGCGTACAACCATCCTGGATTAAGGGAGGAGCGGTAAGTTACCATATGTATGCAGTAACATGACGTCTGCATCCTATACGTACTGCGAGTTCCTGTCAACGAATAACTTGCATTTGTCACTGTTTATGATGATTTGATAGAGCGATAATCGGTAAAGTCAGGCAAATAAAGCTCCTTTAACGTTAAAAAAATCTATTAATATTTTTTTCACAACAGTAAATAACTGATTTTCTCATTTAAAAGCAGTCATTTTTGCTGATTTTACCAAAGTTTTATATGTACTTTGTGTGCCTGAATTTAATGAAATGCCGACATTCAAAAGCAAATATATTCCTTTTAATGTAAAGGTTTTGAAGTTTTCGTTCCTACGTTTAACATAGGGAGAAGCTCAAACGCACAAGACGTATCTATAAACATGTTTAGATTTTGCGATGGCCATTAAATGATAACTGTTTAAGCGGTAACTTGGCAAAGAATGACATTGATAAAAAAATTTCTCACATTTACGCAAGACATCGATTTAGGCGTTATACGCTCATTTCAACGGTATATTCTTTGTGGCTCAAGGCAGAACGTCAAAAGGTTAAGTAGGGAAGAAGTCACCCAGGCCCGTCTTTGACCGTGGCCCTTCACTGACGTCTAGTAAAACCAAAAACCAACTTTACGAATCTTCCAGATATTACCTCCGTTTACTTGCTTCCAATACAGATATTCTCTCTTTAATATAACAAAAACATATCAAATTAGTCATTAAGCCAACAAAAATAAAAACTCATTGAAGTTTTGCAATTTGGGAGGGATGGTTCAAATGGTCTAAAAACCATACGACCCGTTTGGTATACTCGAGCATAACACACCACGATCTGTTCGTTAACACGTTACTTGGAAAGTTAAAGGCGTAAGTCTCTTGTCACTGATGTCATGGTATATACTGGTGTCAGGTCCATCTTTAATTCAATCCGACAGGACCAGAAAATCGAGACCGTCAACATGTTTCTACAAAGCAAAAACGATGAAACGGAGAACCACCTCGGACACGACAAAGTCCTTTGGCCACCAAAATCTTTTCTTGGTGCGTAATTCAGGTTTGACTTAACAAATCCATATACAGGTGGATGTAAGACCAATAAATTCGCCGGTTTCGTGACATATACTCGAGCTGATCGGAGAGTGGTTAATGTCGCTGATATTCAAACATTAAAGACTAAAATCCTAGGCTATGTATGTGGACAGTAAATTCGTCGTCATCGAAGGCGATCATATGTTAACGTTCAAACGGCATCTAAACAACGTTTTCCGGCATGTCCTCGTCAGTCGCTAAGACTGTGGTGGCCTAAAGACTAAAGTGTTCAGAAAGGCGACGATCACGACTAAAATACTAAACTTAAACGGCAACCGGTCAATCAACCAAAACGCCGTTGCATAAGCACGATATATAGGCGTGTTGCAGAGTTCCAATATATTACGGGTTTTCAGAACAAATGCTGACCCATGCAGATTTGTCAACCGGTTCATATCTCAACGAGACGAACGACAAAATCGTACCCACCCCAAATTCCGACGATAGATCCCGTACATTGCACACGTCTCCGAGCTTGTGCGTCGCCTTTTTGCCCCGCTTAATGTTAGAGTTGCACACATACCGAAGGCGACTATAAGGCGTCGGGTGGTATGGCAAAAAAACCACTGTCATGGCAAGAAACATCTGGAGACGTTTACCGGATCAGTTGCGGTTACGGGCAAGGCAACTACGTCAGAGAAGCTTGAAGAATGTTCCGGATGTTAATTGCAAACACGCGGCAGCGCTGTGGACAAACGACGCCAACTCTCAGTTTGCGGCCCATTCGACGAGACCCGACCAAACTTCAACTTCGATGAGATCGAATTTCTCGCGAGAGCCGCATGTCGCTTCAGTCACGGTTCATGGGGCTCCAGTCTATGAACAAGTGCAACGACAACCGTACTCCATATTCGTTGCTGAAGGATAGTCTGGCAAAAGTAATTAATCGCTCAGGGAGCAAACAGACCGGTGAGCCAGATAGCCGACCAATCATCATGCCGGCATCTAACACGGGTGATGTGATTTCAGCGATGAACTCCATGTATTCGGGCAACCAAGCGGTAAGTGCACCAGCCTACAATAATCCTCGACCAAACGGAGAACAGGTTGATTATGATATGTTAGCAGTGGCATAGCGACTGCATCCCGTACGTTCTGCGACATCCTATGTACTAATTAGCAGAATATGTCACTATCTTTGATAATGCGTTCGATCGATTTTCCGTAACGACCGGCGAATAAGCCTCTTGTACGAGCAATCGCTTCTGATTCTAACTGAATATTTCCTGAAGCCGTATCGTCCCTTGTATCGGCAATATTAGGGTTCTTTTCATAGCGGTATACTATGTAGACATTCGTCCACGGATATATTGTGTAACGGATGTTTTAAAGAAGAGACAGTTATAAGTGTATTTCTGTTTTCTCTGACACCGTCCAAAACACAAAGTTGAGCTCGACGTGATATATGGAAGTTTAAAATAATTCTCTGAGAGATACTGTGTTAATTTGCGGAAGAGTTGGTTTCCTCGGTGCCGATCTCGGTCCCTCTATACTCTCTTCAGTGCGCCAGTTCGCTGTCCGAGCCTGTGGCCCGTTTGTTGCCAGGAGTAGACGCAGTGAGTAGCGCAACAGGAAACCTGCGCTAAGGCGTGCGAACAAGCTTCCATGTACGGCGGTGGTTTTTGAGTGTGCGAACTCTGAGCTAACTGACTGTCTCCTATTGCACCCATATCAGGCCTTCTTCACTGCTTAGCACAATAACAACGTCAACCACACATACGGACATGTGATCTGACTATTTATACTCAAACTATTAAACACTGCAGTTGGGCAATCACAGTTATTTCTTTACGTATTGTGTTTGAGAAGAACATGAGTTCGGATATCACGTTATCGGACTGTGGGGTTGTTTATGGTAAAAAAATGACGAGAAATATGTCAGCAGTCCTCAGTGCAGACTCCCACAATATAACCAGTCATCTCCCCTCGCCTATCTTACTAGTAGCTGTGCGATTACCCACGGAGCAATTGAAGTGAAAAGCATTTTCCGCAGCCAAGTGTAAATTACTGGAAAGCAAGCATATGCTTGGTGTTTAAAGCGGAATCATTTGCTGGTCTGTTATTTGAACAAGCTGCTATTAATGCAACAGCGAAAATGATCTTTCTGCTTGCAGTAAATGGCTATTCAATATTGGAAAGGGGAGTAGTTAAAAGCACTTTATATTAAAATAATGCTAACTGTATTCGCAAATGTGAGTAAATTTACAAACATGCCCAAAGTTTACGGCACTTAACGTACAGCAAAGTAGATGTCTTATAATAGCTTTTTTCTCTTTGATTATCAAGCAACCAGAATGTAAGTAATTTGTCTTTTCGAACCACCGATTAAAACACAAATACTCGAACTACTTAAGCTGACGTTTCAAGGACGTGCAGAAACCTACCCAACTCCGCCACTTTCAGCGCATATATAAACGTTTCGCGTAAGTATATGCCTTCAAATATACGGGGACAGGTGCTTACGTGATGACATTTTTAGAATTAAATTTAACTTGTCACTAAATTTCCGACATAGGTAATGGATATTAAGATTAAAATTTTTGCGTCAAACCGGCAATCCGTTTTCATTGACAGTTGTTAATCGCAACGATTTTAATAAACAAACCACGTGCCTTTGTCATGGCGCCTGATTGCATTTGCTCGCTCCTTTGTGTCTTGGGGCTCAATGAAGAGCCACCTTCGCAGTAGAATAGCGAATAGGAAGGGCGTCTCAACAATTTGCCTCTAATCTTTTAACGTCGACCCACACCGTCGCCGTGACCCCCGTGCCTTTCATAGTGCAACCGGATCAAAACATTGTTTAAAACTTGAAGACACTAAGAGGAAAATAGGCCGACTATTACGCTATTTACTGTATTTATTTCTGATTCGTCTTTGTGGTCTTACCTATTTGTTCTTTGCTTCGACATGCCTCAAGCGCTTCTTGAAAGGAGGTTAACTCTGTAATCAAGCGCGTTAACTATTTTGACAATTATTGCTCTTCTAAAACAAGATGTGTATTCTAGTAATATTTCCTGACTTTCCATCCATTGTTTAGGTCTACATTTAGTTCGAAAACATGCACCTCTATTATTGTGCTTTGCATGATACATTTGGACCTATTCGCGAACCTTATGATATTATACTAGTTTTATCATGAGTAACTGATGATGGTATGCTCCAATGCAATTTGATAATTGCGTTGGCCTGTACGTATGAAGAAACTCTTACTGGTGGATGCGACTAGATGTCTATTAATCGCGATTCCCTCACGTCATCGGTATTTCTGTGAAACAGACAAACACAACTGCCAACCCAATCCGCACTTTCTATGAGGTAGTATTGGATAGATATTCAGCTTAAAACTATTTTTCTAGAAGTTGTAATGTTTTGCACGAAAGACGAACGTCTTTCCACTGACGTTTGCGAATGACTCTCTCTAATGTATAACAGCTTGTTATGGAAGACTTACCATGTGCTGCTAGTCTGACTAGCTTCTGCAAATCAGACAGCAAAAATGCCTATGGTTGATCTTTATTCTCTTAGCTGTTTATTTTGTGGTTTTGATTGAGACTTTCTGGTCATCCGGCGTTGTTAAGTCTGATGTTTGCAAACACCGAACCTCAGGCCATCACTTTATTGCTGCGATCGGATTTGCTCATCCCGCTCTGCCTTGGGGCTCAATGATAAGCCTTCCCGGACAGTCAAGTGTTGACCAGGAAAGGCGTTTTAATAATGTGTCTTTAACCATTTAACATTCATCCGGTTATATAAAATCATCACCAACAGCTCGATAGCCAAACACTAACTTAAATATGTCTGTAACTTGAAGAACATCTGCGGAAAATTTGGCTGTTTACGATGTTGAATGGCATATGAAGGATATTCAACGTTATGAATTGTTTTTATTCCTGTTCTGTGTGTGCTGTCTTGGCTACTATTTTTTGCATTGACATGTCTCAGACGCTTCCGGGGAGCAGATTTATTCTGCAGACACGCCTAATGGCCGATTAAGTAATTCGGCCTCTTCCAAAACAAGATATATATTCGACTTATATTTTGTAGACCTCCCATATGTGGTAAACGCATTCATTTAGCTCCAACCCGGCCGGTTAATCAATGCGGTTTGTTTGGTGCATTTGACCTGGTTTACAAGCCTTATGATTTGGCACTACTGTTTTTATGATTTACTGACTATGTGCTGTCCTAACGCATCTCGGGACTTAAGATGGGCTGTATGTATGAATTAACTATTACTGGTGTATGTGACTAGGTGCCAAAAAATCGTGATTTTGCTCACGAATAACATGCGGACACGGACGACGATATACTGGCGGAACGGATCGAAAATCCGCCAACCAAGTCCGAGCATTGTTTGAGGTAATTTTGACCAGATATTCCGCTTAAACTTGATTTATCAAGAAGTTGCAATGTCTCGCAAGAAAGACGATCGTCTGTCATCCAGTATTTGCCGAAACTCTCTCTTATGGACAGGAGCGCTCTCGGGAACACTAACTATGTGCTGCTGATCTGAATGTTTCTGTCACGCAGACAACAACAATGCGCACGATTGATTTTTCCTCTCTTGCCTGTTTAATGATTGGTTTTCAATGTGACTTTCGTCAAACTCGCTAGAGGACCATTCGGGGCAAATAAGGCGTATTCTTTTCGAATCTTTAAAATTCCGAGAACTGCTTACTGTCACTTGAGCCGTTGGAGGGAATCCTTGGTGGACCAAACATAATCACACATTAGCTGGAACGTCAAAATTTCGTTAAGAATGTAGATTTGCAAAATTCATCGCATAAACAGTTTGGAAGATTGGCTATGCCATAGCGGTCATGGCTTGGTGTATAAGGTCCGAGTTCTGGGAATTATGGAGTTCAAATTAAACCGCGCAAACCTAATGAAGTAATTCAACAGTTGAATTCTGCTCGCAGTGTTGAGTATTTTGTAATTGATGCAAGCGCTTATATGAAGTTTAGTATCCATTTAAGTCAGCCTGTATACATTTTAAGTCTCGCCTGCGGACTACAGACACTGTTCATGCGGGTAATGCAACTGTTCATCGCTTGTCATCAACTATGGGCTCTACAAGGACTGAGCGTGCTTAGCTATTAAGACAACTCCAATGTAAAATAGGGTTGGCCATTTCTCATCACAAACACAACAAGTTAATCACCCATACTTGCACGTCCACTGTCCCTCGTAATCGCTTTAAGACGGTGCGATGTAGTGGTTATTTCAAGCAAAATCCACACTTGATGTATGTTAGAAGGCAAGTATGAGCTTTGGAGGGCCAGCATAATCGACCTGCTAACCAACTGTCAGTTTGACGTGGCAAGGCGCATTGCTTCAGACGAAAGTTGGCCTGACCTTATGTCTAATGTCTAGGTTGTGAGTAAGCTTACGGAGTTTACCGTCAGTTAACCGTCTTTGAGCACATTTAAGACAGAAGACATATGCTTAACCTTGGATTATAAGCTCAAAGATGTGCGCAAGAGCACTACCGGCTTCAGCTTATAACTGCAGCCTAAAAGCAGTGAATAAATATCGAGGGGATAACCTTATACGACACAGGCTTTTTGCACACAGAAATGGATGTTCTTCCATTCCCCACCGCAAGCGTTCTCCTGTGACAGTCATCGTGGTTGATGACGTGTTTAAGGAAAATGTTCTTCCTCTCACTCAATTGGTGAAAGATTGCGTCTTCTTTGAAAAATAGGCTTGATGAAATAGCATTATTTTCCGGATGCATTTTAATCCGATCTGATGTTACAACCTCATTTTTGGTTCACAAGCGCATGCGGTATACCATTATTACAGTACGAATCATGCATTTCCGGTCGCAAGCAAAAAGAAGAAAAAAGGGCTTGTGGAATTTTTGCATAAGTGTGAACCGCGTCGTCCTCTTATTTAGAAAGCACTAATAAATATACCGAGGAGATGGTGTACGACTGGACATGAGCCAATCGCACCAAACCAGCCACCAGAACGTAACTGCAATTCACTTGGCCCACCATCTCTCTCCCACCTGAAAATGCTGTTAGTTTTATTCTTAACCTATCCGTATCCAGAGCTCAAACTGCAGAATGTCGTTTTGCCTGCCTTGTTTATCAATGACTTGAACAGCAATTTACATATACAACCATTAAGAGAAATTATCCAAAACGAACATATGCTTAACGATTGGGGCTTACGGTCCTTAGTGGGAATTTATAAAGCGATTTCTATTCACAGAAGTTTTCTTGGAAAATCACCCCATCGTATATGTACTGAGGACGGTGTAGGCCTTGACGGCACATGACAAATTATGCAAATACGATTACGTACCTCCATACAGTCATAAATCAAATTAAATTAGACCTCAATCGGTGCGATGAAGCCTGTTGATCTCCACTCGTTGTGGATAGTTTTTTTAAAAATAACAAGATCGGTGCGCCTGATAAGCAGATTACCTGCTTGCCAATATCATGAGCATGATTAAATATTCAGGTTTAATCCACTGCAAGCATTAAAAATACAACTGTCAAAAGCGCCTTTTGGGAAGTGAACATAATTTGTGCGACGAGTTTTAGCCACTACAATTATTTTCCCCTTCCTCTTTTACCCCCCTAATTATTCCATTCAGTTTTTCTATGCTTGGTAGACATGAGTGCAAACGGCAAGTACTTGTGTTGCAAAAAACTTTCATTGTACGCTCAATCGCGAGATTGTCACCAATTACTATCATAAATGCGGAACACTTGAGCAACGAAAAAATCTATTTGAAATAGCATTGAATGAACTAGATTGCCACATTCATAAATGAACAATTCAGTTAAAGTGTGGATCTTTCAAAAAACAATAAATAGGCTGTGAATTGATCAAGCGAATGCTTGATATACCGTTATGTTCAATGCATACCGAGACAGATAGCAATCGCTCAAAAACTACTTCCAACTTGACCACTATGACGCATGTTGAAACCAAATAATGTTTAAAAAGGAAACATGTCTCCTAGTGGATTGACAAACTTAGTCATATTTACGTTTACGCGATACTGCATTTGGCATTCAGTGTCCAACAAGTATGACCTAGTTCAGGGGCTCTAAATGCGGCGTTGCATCCTCTCGCTTTTTCGTTTAGGGTGTCTTTTTGGAGGAGGAGGAGGAGGAGGAGGAGGAGGAGGAGGAGGTAAATTAAAACTGTGCCTGCTGTGTCGAAAATTATAGAGGATTTGGAAAAAGCAATATGATTCTGCGCATCCCCACAGGTATTTAGGAGATTTATGACAAGAAAACAGGATATGTCTATCATCGGTTATTTTTAATCGCGCTGGGTTTAGGCTGGTACTCCTAATTTGGCAGATTCGGCCCAAAACTTCTGAATGCCCACCAGTATCTGACTTGAAATTTCCTAAAGCAGACCGCAGGATTATCATGAATTCAACAGCGCAGCAAAAAACCCGAACAGCTGGCAGTAATTCTACTGTAGGACCTAGATTGCACCTTAACCTATGCTAATTAACACAAACAGTTGGGTATTTTGGAAATTTCTGACAAGGCACGCATCAGTAACGAGTACCGGAGAAGTAATCATCGATGTTAGTTGAGGCAGTAGCAAGTCAAACGTAGCCAAGCTAGATAACTAAGCTTCCGACATTACTTTACGAAATACCGTTAACACCATTATACTCATAGAGGGATCAAAAAGAAATTAAAAATCAGATAACCGAAAAGGAAACCTGCGCATATATATATTCTCTAAAACATTTCCATACTAACGCGCCTATGTGAACCGCAAACTCAAAAATTCTAAAAGCAAAATACAAAGAGGCGGCTCGCTTTATATTCAACTGCTTTCTTCTCTACTCATACGGGTAAAATTACCTTTAGTAACTTGCATCCGGCCAATCGGTAGACAAATGTAATTGAAAATCCAGTCTGCCACGTTTTTTTGGACTGACAAGTGCGTTTGGCGAACTTGTCAAAGGTCAGTTAATAAACAGGTTTTATGGTAGTCAAGAATAACTTCAAATATATTAAATCAGCAGCGCATTGCCCATGGATGTTCTTGGGGCTTTAATGACTCTTTTAGATTACGGTGGCCGTCCTGAATGACCTTTGCTTTTTTGGCAGTGATATTTTGGGCGCCTACTGCCGTTTCCCTCTAGCCAATCACAGGCACTCATTTGTCATCAGACAGCAGTGGTGAGCGAATATTCAGAAGAAAATGAGGCAAGTGACCGTTACTTTCGATACCTTCTCGTCAGGCTAGTAGAGGTATATGTGGTGGGATACAGATAGTGAAAAGATCGATAAAAGTTGGTTTTTTTACATACAGGCTAGACAAGAGCGGAAGAGCGCAGAAAGTTTTAAGTAATTAGTCCGCTTTAAACGCGAAGCACGAGCAAGGATATTCTGGGCACGTACGGTCGGTTTTCATAACCTGATGGTGGTTGCTGCTGATGTTGCGAACATTCGTCCTAGATAACCTGAAAATGATGAAAGATTAGGAATTGACATCTACACTCAGTGTATAGAAATAAAACGTGGAGAAGCAAACAGTTCTGCGCTTCTTAGGAGTATACATAAGATGAAACCCCAGTCACAGATTCCTTAATATCCAGCTCGGTAATATACAACCGCTCTTATATGACAGTTGATAAAACATCACTTGAAGCGTAATCCCTTGGTCCTGTGTTTTGCTTACGACGTCCAAATGTTCACCAGCTAGAATGGAAAACTCACATCGAGAACATCTGCAACCAAAACTGCAATATATTGCCCGATTCCGGAGACGGTATCCAACACTTTCAATCAACATGAGTGAATTGCAGCCATTCAAGCCTCAACAAAGAGCCAAAAGTCGAGAATCGCTGACAAAAGCGCATGTGGAAAAATTAAATGAACTTCGGGTGAACAAAACGATCTTCGTAACTAGACATGACAAAGGAAAAGGCGTCGTTATAATGACAAGATCGGATTGTGTAGCATAGATACAGTCTATGCGATTTGACCAGAAGAAATTCAGAAAGGCGCTCAAACTATGACTAGCACGTATGACGCAGTGGCAAAATTGCCTGACTGCTTAAGAAGTCTCCACACAGTTCACATAAATGACCGTGGCTTCAAACACCTCTGGCCTGTCGGCACACATTTCCCTCTCTTATATGGTTTACCAAAGATCCATAAGGAAGGCCTACCGGTTCGTCTTATTTTACATATGCGGAACTCTCAGTATCATGCGATAGGTAAGTGGTTAGCAGGGAAACTCAGGCCCATACAACATCAGCTAGCACTACGCAGCTATCGAGATACCTTGACGGCATGATAATGTTCTCACTAGACGTTGCATCACTTTATGACAAACGTCTCAGTCACCAAGAATGTTGATTATATTTAAGATGTTCTATTTGCCAGACATCCAGAATAAGGAATACTGAAGAACACATTTAAGGAACTATTACCAAGGTGCACTTTAAATGTGCAGTTCCTATTTGACAACCAGCTCTATAGACAAATAGACGGCGTTGCTACGGATTCGTTACTATGGGTTCACCTCTTGGACCTTCCTTAGCTGACGTCTTCATGGAAAAGCTGGAGAGATTTCAACTAAGCGATCAGATCAAAAAGCTTAAACATTACGGTCGCTACCTTGATGATATCTTTGCGAATGCAATCACGGAAACCGACGTTGCTGTCCCCCTAAATGCTGTGTACCGAGCACATCCATCGATGAAATTCACGTTGGAGATGAAATCGGCAGGTTCGCTTCCTTTCTTAGATGTCCTTCTAAACAAAGGATCTGACGGTGGCATCCGAAGTACCGTCTATCGAAAAACACAGTTCTGGATAGTATAAGAACTTCGCTAGTTTCGAACCTCTCCAACGAAAACGAAATCTAGTCAAATCATTGGTACAAAGGGCTAAACAATTTTTTTCAGCAGATAGTAGTGAGGAGAAGCTTACAAATATCCAGGACGTGCTTCGCGAAAACGATTATCCTCATAGGTGAATTGCACAGAAATTTCCAAGCGGCCCGCAAAACTAATTACACTGGCCGCCAAAAAGTAAACGTTGTTCATAATAGTCCCTTCCCAAGGAGACGCTGCAAGTGAACTCCGAAGAAGAGGCCTTGACCCAGCTGTCAAGGGAACCTTTCTAACAGCAAGTGTTAGCATATCATTCTCTTGTGACCCTACTTTACGCGGAGAAGTCAAGGATACACTGCCACCTCACACCGCCTCAATGTGCATCTACTAATTAACTTGCGCCTGTGTGGCAGGTTATATTGGTCGATCAAGTTGGCGCCTTTCCTAAAAAAATCGAGAGCGCCTCCCCTCATGGCTGGAAAAAGGTGAAATTAGGAAAATAAACAGCGTCATCCTTGCGCATGCAGTGGATTCAGGGCATCGTGTGGATCCCGCTGAAACATTCCGTGTGATTTTTAACATCCCCTCGAGCTCCTCTAAGCTACTGGGCCAGCGCCTGTTAGTAAAGGCAGAAGCGGCCCACATCGGGTTACGAAAACCAATCCTATGCTCCCAAAAGAACCTTCTTCATGTCCTGCGCTCACTGTGGACAAAGATTGGCTAACTACATACAACTTTCTGCGTCCTTCCGCTTTTGTCTGGCATCTATTTTAAAAACTGACTTTTGTTAATGTTTTCACTCACTGTACCTCATTCCATGTATCTGTACTGACCTGAGGAGAATTTGACAAAATAAAATTTCACTCGCCGCCTTTTCTTCTGCATATAGCTATGGGGATTTAGCAACTCCAGAACGAATATTTGGTATCCACTCCCATTAACTTTCTCCTTCGTCCACTCGCTCTCTATGTATACGCAGAATGACGCTAACTCTTCGTGCAACGGAAAATTTGCACGCCCATAACAGCTATCTATACTGCCCCCGTATGCAAACAATATCATTGGTTCTTCCTCCAATAGCTGAAAATTATGCAGTGGGAACTGTATTGGAATTGTCGATAACTTTGATCTGCCCATGAGTCTTACTTGTCCGACAGGGACGTAGTTCCCAGATTGCATTTTGTCCTCGGGCAAACATATACCGCCACAAAAAAACATTTGGGTGCCCTAGTCCATTGCATCTGGAGAAAAATTTTAAACAGTCAGCAAACACATTCTGAAGACACTGGTATTGTGACATATGAAGACATGTTTTATTAGCATCCATTCGTGTTAGCAACTGTTTTATTATCATGCATCATTTTAACCCTCACGCAAACCTTACGTGTATAATTTATTTCCGCCTCTCGTTATTATACCCAATATGGGTATTTTTGAGTGCAAGAGCTGTACATGTTGCAAAACAAACTTAAGCATTTTGCTTAGCTTGCACTAACTGTCATCAATTATGCGGGTCATCTTGTATTCTGACAATTTTAACTTCCTGCAGCAATTATGGTAAAGAATGTCACTCTCGTATAAGCCCTTGAAAAAAAATCGAATGTCGTTTGCGAAAGCTTCGTCGTAATCATTTCTGATGTCATGTATCATGCAGAACAACTTGCGGGTAAGGCCAGGCCACATGCTCATACAAACAGGCTGCCTACTTTTGTAACGATACATGCTAACGGCAGAGGTCGCAGATGAAACTTCCGAGAGGTCATCCACAGCTAGCAGTAAGGAAGCATTTTATGACTATTTGCATTTCGCCGTTGGTGATACATATTTACAGTACAAACTGCGTTTGCATGTAGAAATAAATTCACATTCCAAAGGAAACCCTTGCAACTTGCCCAGCATAGTGGCCTGCATTTGAGATATAAGATCCTAATTATTTGTCCCAGTTCGATCATGCTAAAAGACAGCTTATGTCGTAAACGATTCAGTTAATTGCAAACAGGCTAAAACAGTGGAATTGAGGAGAGCATTTGCTTCCAGTTGGATTTCTTGGCGTTAAGCAACAGACATTGGTTCAAACCGTCTATACACTAACTTCGTTAAACCTGATGTTGTACAAAACTGACTTAGAGGTTTCTATTCCAGCTACTGTTTTTACCTTAGTTATTTTTTTACTCACCAGTCCTCAAAGCAATATTACAGTTGCTAAACTGTTAATAATTTATTGCAGGGAGTATTGTTCTCCACAAAAATCAATAACGCATTTTATTTTATAAAACGAAACAGAAGTTGAATATTCCCGTGCAGAACAAGTTGCCTGTTTTGCAGGTTT